GCACTAACTAATGTGGTAAACAAAATATATGTATCTGTCTGCAAAAAAAAAAAAGATCCTGCCATTACAAACTTATTTTCATATATATATTTTTTTTATTTTGAAGGAATTTGCTAAAAACGGTAAAAACAAAGCATAGAAATGGGGGTACAAATAGAAATTTTACTCCAAGAAGGCTTCACTCAAAAGGCAAATTGCGAAGAAATTGACCCTTTCTAGATACGGTGTGCGATATTCCTTATAGAATCAGTCAAAAACTGGCGCAAATGTTACCAGAATATGAGGTAGATCAACATAAGTGATAATTGTTTTTGTAGATAAACATTGAGTAAAATAAAACTTCTGCTGAAGATAAACATTTAATTATTGAGAGCAAAAGATATAGTCGAAAAAAAACGGTCTAGAAGGAAGAAAAAGAAGAAGGGAAAGGAAGAAAAGCAAGAGTATTATTACACCTATACATTTATAATACCCTTGCTTCTTCTTCTTCTTCTTCTTCTTCTTCTTCTTCTTCTTCTTCTTCTTCTTCTTCTTCACCACATCCTCCTCCTCCCTTTCTGTTACACCAAACGTCGGGCGTTTCTTTATTTATTTCTGAAAATAATAATATGTCGTTCATTATTATTATTATTATTTAATATACTGCAATAAGAGGTGATTTGATAAACATTATCTGAGTATATTGTAAGTTTGAAACTAAAGAAGCGGATACAAATGACCTCCTGATTTCTAAGTTAAAAGCTCTACATGTTATTTTTACTTTTATTTTATTTTTTCACACGTGTATTGAGCACTTTTTAATACTAATGTTTCCTGGACTGGTTTCCTGGTCTGATTCAACTCTGACCATTAACCTTTTAACACACGCACACACACATATATATATATATATAGAGAGAGAGAGAGAAAGAGATAGATAGATAGATAGATAGATAGATAGATAGATAGATAGATAGATAGATAGATAGATAGATAGGAAAAAAACCGAGACTGATAGATAGGTAGGTAGGTAGGAAAAAAACGAGATCGATAGATAGGTAGATAGATAGGAATAGACAAAGATAGACAGGTCGATAGATGTGTGCAAATGAAGGGAGACAAAATAAACTTGAAATTCATCAGTTCTTAATTATGTGTGGTGTAGCTGCACGTTGACTTACATGTGAAATACATTTCCATTATAGACACGGGTAATTCATTTAAGAAAAAGTTAATTAAAATTCCATTACGTTAATGTTTCGATTTAACAAAAACGCTGGACTGAATTTAATTAGGAAATTGATTAAGATTTATTAAAATAATTTTTACATCAATGATCTTAAAGCTGCAGCATACTGTATTTAAAAAAAACAATAGATATCCCCTATCTTTATCCTCCGAGTAGATTACTCCATGATGTGACTTTGGAATTCAAGCTCCCATTAGGTTAATAATTAATGTCCCGTCACGTTTGATTGGAGGTTACTTCTACAGATAGATTGATTAGGGGGACTTTTGAAATATATATATATATATATATATATATATATATATATATATATATATATATATATATATATATAATTTTTATTAATGTCAAATATAAGAAAAGAAAATATGAAAAAATCACTGCATTATTGACTTATTGGAAGGCTAAGGGGGACTTTGGAAAATCGCCCGGAATTAAATGGAAAATAATTAAAGGAAGAAAAAAATGCTTTCGCCTGTAGGGGAATCAGTGCTGGTGCAGAGTCGCCATGGACAATTAAAAACGGGAAGAGCTTCACTGATCGCAGAAAATTAGCCGCGGGGCGCAAGAGCAATTTTTTTTAGAATCAATTACAGAGTATGAGATAGAAATATAAATATATATATATATATATATATATATATATATATATAGAGAGAGAGAGAGAGAGAGGGCATAGAGAGAAATTATTTATTTTTATTTTTCTATTGAGAGTTAAAAGGATTAATTAGTTACAAAAATAGTGAAATATTATTTGAATAACTTCACCAAAAACTGAACCTTTCGTACGCACTGACACGCCGAATTTATTCTAGTATATCAAAATATTAAACTAATGTGAAAACAATCTCTGGTGACAATCTCGCAGGTCCCGCGGGTCCGTTTTTCTGTATGCCCCATGTAGGGCATGTAGTGGATGAAAAATAGCATTATGAGAATAAAAGATTGGAGATAGTGGCTAAGTGTAAACTCGAAAAAGTTTGCTACCCTGCAAAGCCCTTTTCAATAAACAAAACTTTGTTAGCCTCTCGCTACTCCATCGTTATGTTCACAGCAAACGTTCAGATGATATACCTTCTTCAGTTCCGCCAGTTCATGCCTTCACAGGTAGGAACCGTCATACCAGTAACACCGGGTCGAATCATCCTTATTCACTTTGTATTCCATTGGTAAAGATATAGTTCTACTCACTTTCTTCCTGTTGTATGCTTGTATTTTGTACTAAGTCGGTCCTAAAATAGGTTCGACGTACAAAACGTTAAGAACTTGATATAATAGGTAATGACGCAGAGTAATATAGTTGTGGTCGCTGATACTTTAATATCCGACTAACGGTCGTCCGGCATCGACTGACTGACCGAATCACTGAGCGACGGTATTTAGTCACCCCGCCCCACGTGGGTATCATATTGCACAAGGCCGGTTTAACGTGGGATCTCCGAGCCCGTGGGCTCGGCCAAAAATATGCCCATTGAACCCGTATAAACGGGTTCAGGGTCGGTTTACCTCCCCGAAAGAGAATCCGCCCCCCCGAAGGCAGAGAGTTCAACCGGTCAGCTGGTCGTCCGACTTCAGACTGAACTCAGACCAAACCACTGAGCGACTCCCTCGTTACTCTTACCACTCCTACTTATTAAAGGTGGTAGAGTCTATTAACTATAGAATAGGTGTGTTCCACTATAACACTAACGCAGATCTGTTATTTTGTGGAACAGAAAAGTTGCTTCCTTGATCACAACGATTTTAACCTCTACATGTCTAGGGTCAACTGCTATGTTACAATATGCTCTCTATTTCTTTTATCTTTTATAGTTGAAGCTTTTACCCGTTTCTTTGTTAGTGTGAATCGCCCAGATTATCATTTTCGCGGTGGAAACGGTGCTATTTGCGTTATTTTTGTATTCTCTTTTCACCGTCGATGATCTATTTTTTAATTTAGTCTCGTTGACCACATTTTATATTACCTATAACAAATTTTACATTGGAGATAAGGGAATTGAGCACAGAATAGGCTACTTTAAGGATAGTTCCAAGAGACTGCAAAATGAAGAACGGTATCTTAAAGTTATGTTCAGAAACAGTCAGTTCCAGATTCTGTTATGGATAGCCTGCATGACATCCATTCTGTCCAAAAATGTCTAAAATTCTCTGACCATGTATTAAAAATAGCTTCGAGCAAAGGAATCCTGTCAGACTATGAGAGTGCCATCTCTATTCGAACCCTGTGGACAAACGTTACTCAATCACTGACAAAGCACTGTACCAAACAAATTACATCAATTGAGGACTTTCAAAAGTTTCTATGCTGTTTCTTTAGCGGCATATCACCTGCTTATGGATCATTAGGGATATTAGTAAATTTCTTTACAAAACATGCATTTAATTTTTTCAAAAAATTATTGCTAGTAATTTATTTACAATGAAAATTCATTGCTGGTATTTTCAGTATAAAATGTTTTCTATTCCTTTATAGTGTTTGATCCCAGTTTGGAGTTAACTATTTAACTATAGCAGGAACTCTAACAAGTGCTACCACTCCAAGTCAGGATAGACCTAGGAACAACAGCAATTAAGAGATAGTTCCATGTTCCTCAAAATCTCCAATCTCTCGATCAGAGACCTTGCTGCCAGATCTTGTTTATCGTCATGCTTAGGACGAAATTTCAAAAGCAAAAATCAACTAAAATGGGAAGCTTATGTAACTTGAAGAGAAAATAAGGATAAAATGAAGATGTTGACGTTCCACACCACTTTAAATAAAAGGTTAGGAAGAAAACCTCCATCAGAGCTGGAAAAATCAATGACAGATAGTGGATTCGAACAGCTTATTTTCCTGAAAATAATTTTTAAATAAAAATTTAAAAAAAAAATTTCATCCATCAACACATTGACTCTTCCGCCAATGAATGTCGAAGGTTTCAGTATAAGGAAGCGATTAATACTAGCATTTTCACCCTTTGACTAATCATCCCCATGTTGACTAGAGTCCTGCATCTTGAATAGATGTCTTTTTATGGGATGTAGTTTATAGGCCTGCGCCCACCTTTTCTCCTCTCCACAGGCGAGGGATTTCTTTCTGTTTTTCGATCATTCACAAGCGGGCACATCATCCAGGATTATATCTAAAGTTGTTGCTTCACATGACCATTAAGATTATGATTTTCACTGGGTGTCTTAATATAAAAAGAAATAATCCAACCTATTATCCAAATGCCATACGTTCAGGGAAAGTGGATTTGTGCCTTTCAAAGAACTATAGTCCGAGGTGAAAAGGGAAACGTTTTTGCTGATTATAATTTCTACAAGATGTCACATGATTGATTGGTTTTCCCTGACTTATTTGCAGGTTTTGAAACCTGCGTCCCTACACAGTTTTAACCCTTCTACCTGAACTCCGTAGTAAATATTCGCAAATAATTGGTATGTAATGTCTCCTGTTAGATATAAAAATAGTTACAAATGTTTATCCACTGTTAAACCGGTGTCATTTTTCTCTACCACCAGTAAAGCGGTGGTCAGGGCTCAAATCGTTAAAGCCAGAAAATATATTTAGATTGTAAGATTTTTTTTTTGGTCTTTGGAGATAATAATATCTTAGTCATACGAGTCTCACTAATTAACCCATAGCTGGGGAACGAATATGATTATTCA